ATGTTTTAAAATTATATTTTATTTAATAATATTATTAATTATAATATATCATTAATAATATAATTGCAGCTAATTATGATATATATATTGTAATTACTAACAAAAACTACAACTATTATAACTTAAATAAATAATTAAGTTACCTATCTTTAATTTAAAGAGATATTTTTATTTAAATATAATTTCTAAAAAAAATAATAATAAATATATATTTTGCTTATATTTTATTTAAAAATCATGAAAATTTGTAAATAAATTCTTTGAAATATTATTATAATAAATTATAATAAGTTATAGTAAGTTATGATAAGTTATAATAAATTACAATAAGTTACAGTAAGTTGTGGCAAGTTGTGACAAGTTGTAGCAAGTTGTGACAAGTTATGATAAGTTGTGACTTGTGAGAAGTTGCAACAAGTTGTGATTTTTATTAAATTTTTTAATAAGTTATAACATATAGTTGTAATATAAATGTTATAATATAGTAATTGTGACTATCATCTTTAATCATCACTTGATTCATTGATATCTGATATTTTCTTCTTCTATTTCAATTTGATATTATTTTAATACTTTTTGGCAGTCATTAAGCAGTATCTAGCATATTTACTTTGTTTAGATATGAGAAAGAGAAAATATATCTTAAAATAGCTTAAGAAAATATAGCAAAAAAGACTTGTATTATAGAAAAGATAATAATATAGAGAAGAGAGATTATTTATTATTTTATAATTATATAATGAAGTCTTTTAAATAATATTTAAGTCTTCTAAAGAGCTCAAAATTGCTTCTGATATATTTTCTGACGCGACGCGTCTATCACGTGATCGTGTCGTACTATATGCATTCCAAATTTCAGCGGTGGCGCAGCACTTGATGTCTTTAGGCCGTTCGCACCATACAATATTCAAATCAAATAAACACGTGATTTTGGGCGAACCAAGTTTGCTGAAATTTCGCTATATGCAAATCTTTGCATTAGCGAAACCTTTAAGTAAAACCAAAGAAAATCATATTGCTTGATACAGACACAATGTGACTATAAATTCTGCATTTAAATCCATCGTGAAAATGTTTATTTCTTATACCGTGCTACATCTTTTAATGTATAAATATATGGGCATAGTATGATAAAAAGAAATATTAACTCTTATCGCTAAATACATGTAAAGATTGTACATACCTATATGTGTTTGCCTATGATTTTTTGGTTTCGATACGTTATTTCCGGAAACTAATGTCGGTGGGAGATATTTTGGTGATGGCTCGTCCTCTTTGTTATTACTATCCCAGCCCAAGTCGTAATCAGCGAAAAGAAAGCTAAATTTTCGGTTTTGTTTAATCACTGAACTATGGATATAAAAACAACGCTGTGATGAATTCCGGCGATAACTATGAATCAACAAGTTCGATCTAAATGCCACGGCTTGACCTTGTTTAACATGGACGATTAATTTTAATTCTGGAAATGTCAGTTCCACCTTCGAAATTCCCAAGTGGACACACGACACAGAGGGTATTTGGATGGTCTTTTATATCCCGATGGAATTGACAAATCACATTAAAGTTAACGGCAACTATAGGGAAAACTCCAAAGAATTTCGGGACATTGGAACCAAGATCGAGTTTTTTCATCTTGGTATATAAAACTGGATATGTAGTTTCGAGATATTTATTAACTGCCTCAGAAATTGGTCGAAGCCCTCGTATTAAACCTTGGACACATTTTTTGTGTTCTTCGCAATGGGAGGATGCGGTATTTGCTGTTGTATATGGCATATTATTACTATCTGCAAACCCACCAAAATGTTCAATCAAGTCCTTCGCAAATTGCTTTGATTGATGTGAGATATAGGCGAGCGTATGTTGATAGTATTGATCCACTGCTATTCTAGCACCATCCACGGCCGTTTGATTATCAAGATCTAAAAAATCCACTAGTTTCTTCGAATTCTGCAGGAATTTCGGCAATTATCCCGTCACGGCTCGGCACTAACCTTATATCTTGGCACGAATGATCATAAAAATAAACATTCTCAAAGTATCATAACACATCAGCGGAGTCAGCGAAACCAAGATAACGAAGAAAATTTACTCAGCGATGCATAATTAACAAGATCAAAGCATAATTCTTTATTTTTGTAAAATGAATATTGAGAGTAAGGGGCCGGCTAATTAAACGATATAAATGATAGAGAAGCTTTATTTTAGATTATGATATACGTATATCGCCCAGGTCATGTGTGTCATAATGATAAAATAACCTGAAGGATTTTGTTTACAATAGGCAGACCTGTTTCGTGATCATTCCAATTTACATCGAAGTTGAGAACTTACAATCCACTCAGATCCAATCTATACAGATATCTTTATTGGCGAAAAAAAGGCCCCATTTGTTAGGCGTTTATGACCTTTCCTCAATGCCTCATAAAAAGTCATCGTATTATTCTTAGTCCGCGCCTTCCAAGACAGAATTGTTTTTGCACCAACCACCAGCTTAGAAAATCCCTCCACGGTCCTTGGAACTTCCACATGCTGTAAATCCATTGTAACAATGGTATCTTCAAACAAATACTTCGATGCAGAAATTTTGAGATGAAATCCATTCGATTGAAGATTGTAAGTTTCGATTTTCGTGATATCAGCTTTGGCGGCAGAGGGGAGCGCAAAGAATAGGGTTGTAAGGATCACTTTGGAGCAATACTCTAATTTCCGGAGATCACCTGTCCTTTTGCTGTGGGTGTTTAGGACACCGTCTTCTTGAGCAAGGATTTCGGTGCCTAAAGATTTAAGGAATCCTTTACCATCTAACTTTGGAGCACTACGACCAGCAATGTTTAGGATTTCTTTGAGTTTTTCGTATGACTTAGAAGCTAGCTCCCCACAACTTAATTTCATATCATCCTTTCCGAGAAAGGCATTCCTAAGTAACGGAGTCCAAACATACGCATTAAGCTCGCTTTCAGACATGGGCTGTAGTAGAATGTCGTTCTTGTATAAGAAGAAGAAATGATCGAAGAGAGTCCGCACAAAAATAAGGTCGTTCGACGCGTTGGACATATCGATCGGATTTTCATTTAGACATCTTGCCAAAGACTCCAAATCCCCTATATCACTGAACTTCTCCAAGAATTGCAATACCTCTTCCTCACAATCCACCACAAACTTATCGATGCTTTGTTCAGTAGCAAAACAGACAGCCTTGATCTCGGAGTCTTGGTCTTGAAGTTGGTTGGCAATAAAACGTTTAAAGTCGTCGGGTAAAAACTTGGTGCAGTCGGGATTATGGACGTTAATAACACCAATACATAGAGGGCTTTTTGTGGCCTTATCTTTATTCATGTTTGAGCGAACAAAATCCAACACGTCTACATCATTGTATGTTAACTTCTTGCCCGCCAAAACACACATTTGATATTTCTTGAGAACTTCCTCCGCTATATCACGAGTGATATATGGTCTTCTGCTTTTCCGACTCTTAACTTCCGCTTCCTTTGTTGATATTAAAGATGTATCCAATTCGGCTGTTTGGTCTAGATTCCTTTCATGCTCGATGGAAGTTGCAAGAAAGACGTTCGTAAGAGAAACAGGTACAATCTCGGAGTCAGAGTCTGATGAGAAATAATCTTCGTCGCGGGGTGGTGAATCACTATCGTATCTTTTTCGTTGAGAAGACCCTTCGTTGATAGTTCTGATCTATGCACACATGCAAAAGATTTACAAGGTGTTTTTTGCTAGTTAAATTTATGTTATATCCTAACCTTGTTTGGAGGCGTTGATCCATAATCGTCCGCACTTCGTTTTTTCTTTAAAAATCGATCGCTTTCAATATGTTCGTCGTCATTCAAGTCACGCTTTGGATTTGGCTGAATATGTGAATATTCTGCAATAATTTCGGGTCCGTAAAATCCACATGATGCGCCCACAAGGTTAATACCTTGCTCGTCCGCAATAATCTTAGCCTTCGACTAATTATGTGAATTATGAATAAGTTCTATTAAACCTGCTGAATAATTATAGATATAAAATCGATTCAGACCTACCTTCAAAATTGCAACATTTTGTTGTCGTGCGATCTATTGCAATGTTTAGAATCATAATTAAAGGTGTCAATATGCTAATGAAAAGGGCTTAGCAAAGCTTGAATCACCAACCTCCAATCGAGTAGAAATTACTTTGAAAAAAAATTTTTGTATACTACTAATATTATTATCCTTACGAGTTACATGTAATTCATAGTTAGTAAAACAATATATCCATTCACACGAGATTCATGGTAAAAAGCATAATAAAAAGCAAATTCGCACATAGGAGGGACAGTAATTACTGATCCTCTTGACTCAGGTATTACCTGGCAAGATTTTTTAAAAACCCCCTAGCACTCGGCAAGTAAATTACTTATACTTCTTGTCTCAGGTATTACCTGGCAGAAGGTGCCTTTCTGCAAAAATTAAAACGTATTTTACCTTATAAACTTGGTGACCTATTGCCTCTACTTCGAGTTTGTAACGTTTTAACCAAGTGCCAGCAAGACCCTTAATATCGTTGGTGTCTGGTGGCGAATTAACGATCACTTCGAAATTTGAGGAAAGAAAGTCAAAAAAGGACCAGTTAGACGGATCCTTGCTGTTGAGGTAGGCGACGAGTGCTGCAAGAATTTAGAACACAATCAGATTAATCGGAAAGCAGTTCTTATTCTCTTATATCATTTGACTATTTGTGATCGTCACCTGCTTGGCCAAGGTATAACTCATTTGACATTGCTGTAGAGATTTTTAAAAAAGGAGTATATACGTAAATAGGGTGAAACGCGCGTCAAACTCGCGTCGTATGGTTATATATAAATAAAAACAACGTTACACCTGATCTTGTATTCTGATTGGCTGTTATAAATTCTATCCCACCCCAAGATTAATAATATTAACGGCTACAATACCACACATATAATCTAAAGAACACGCTTTTTCTGCCATAATTCTATCAAAAATAATTTTAAACTGGCTCCTGATTGCTGAAGTAATATCTGAAAATGATCGTTGACTCAAACCGGAAGAAGCTTCGGATTGATTTGCATCACTTTGTTGATCAGATGAGGATTATCTCGAACTTCTGCTTCCTCAATAGGCTCGATCCTTTGGATAATGGCATAGCGTCGATCAATTTCGTTTTGGAGTGTTGAGATAGCTCCATTGATTGATTCGAATTCGGTTGCGACTCTACCAAAATTGTTATGGTAGTTTTGAAGAACTTGTTCGATCTCATCAAGTCTCGCAGTAGAAGTATTAAGCATTGTCAAGATTCTTTGGACCTCCGCTGTAAAGTTTTCGTCGCATGAGGTAGGTTCAGCGTTAAATTTGGCACGGTAATCGGTGGGCATCACGATTGGCAAGCTCGGTGGTGAGTCGGGCATCACGATTGGCAAGAATTTCATTAAACATGGTATCACGTGCAGTGTTAAGTTCGGAATTATGCTTGGTGTCGATGTCTTGCTTACTGAAACGTGGCAAGTAGAGATTTTCTCAACGAACATCAAAAAGCCGGCGAAGTCCCCAAAAACGGAGCGATTCTCGAAACAGCGGAAATTGGTCTATTGGCATATATACACCAGTGTGGGGGAGGCGTCATAGCATATAAACAAATAAGAAACAAATCTTAATTGTTAGAAATTAGATATTGTTTTATTTTATTCTCTTAATTCGTTAATTATTATCACGAAGTGGGTAAAGGGCATCACAAATATTTCTTCACCTTTTTATATAAGAAATCACAGATCAAAATTTATTTATAGACTTGGGACCAGAAATTGCCAGAACTTTTATTGCAAAGCAATTGATAACCCCTACACTTTACGTCAATTTTTACTTAATTTACTCGTAACAAAAGATTAGTTCAAGAATAATAATAATCACAACAATAATAATAGAGAAATAATAATAATAATAATAAATAAAATATTTACTTGAATATTGAAGAGTATTTAAATTCTTGAATATATTTTTAAAAGGTAAAAATGTATTTATAACTAAAAAATTAATAATTAGCTCAAGAAAATATTAATTGAAAATGAAAAAGAAAATAATAAGATTCAATAAATATTAGTAAATATTATGTATATAAATGGACTAATCAATAATTAATTTTGTAAAATAATAATAGACAGTAATATCATGAGTAATATAGTTACTTAACAATTCTTAAAGAAGATAAACTAGAAGATTTAAAGATTTAGTATTATAAATTTAATTAATATTAATGATCAAAAAGAAAAGATACTTGAAGAAGTAATTAACTTACCAGTTATTTTAAAAAGAAAAATAATAAAAATTAAAGTATTAATAATTATAAATAGTAATTATGATCTTATACTTGAAAATAACTAGACATAATCTTATAAAGCAATTATAAGTTAGGATAAAGATCTATTATAATTTGAAAATAAAAGAAAATAAGTTAAAATTTTTATAACTTATTTAGAAAAGTATCATTAAACTAAACTAAAAAATAACTTATTTAATATTAATAAAGAAATAAAAATCAAACTCTTTAATAATAATAATAAAGAAAAAATATCAAAATATATTTATAAAATAAATATTAACTTTAATCTAAGATATTTTAATTTGAAAGATCTTATTATTTTCTTACTTAAAATTATAATAATAGACTCTTATATTATAATTAAAATATTAAAAGAAATATTTTGCTAACTTACTTTTAAATTTTCTTTAACTTATAAAAAAATAGAAGTAAAAATTAAAATTATAAATGTTAGATATATTAGAAATATTAAAATATTAATTTTTAATAATTTCAATCAATTTTATCAAATAAATAAATAACTTAAATAATATTATAAAAAACTTGATAAATCAAAAAGAAGTTAATAAAATTTTGATTCAACTAGTAAAATAGATCAATTTAAAGAAAAGTAATTTTTAATAAAAATAAAAAGAAAGTGAAAATAAAGATAATAATATTAATTAATTATTCTTAAGTATTTAAGCAAGTATAAATAAATAATTAATAAAATTAGATATTTATGTTAAAGATTATTATATTTAACTTGAAAAAAAATTCTTTTATTTAATATTTAAAGAGCTAAAAAGAATAAACTTACTAATTTAAATAATTTTTTATATTAATAGTTACTTATTAACTAAATATTATAAATATAATAAAAATAACTAGTTTTATAAATAAATAAAAATAATTATTTTATTAAGTTAATAAAGAAAAAAAGCCTAAAAAAATAAATCTAATATCTAAATAAAAATAATAATTAGATGAATTACTAAAAGAATATCAAGATTTATTTAATAATAAATTAGATAAATTATAATAACTTAATATAAAATTAATACTAAAACTAAAAAATTAATAGCTTTTAAATTATATTATAAATACTTATCTATTAAAAAAGAGCTTATAAAAGAAGAAATTAAAAGAATATTATAATAGAATATTATTTTATTATTTGATAATTCTTAATTAGTATTTATAATAATAATTAAAAAGAAAAATAATAAATATAAATTTTATATAAATTATTAATAATTAAAAAAAATTAGGTTCTCTATCTAGAATTAATAATTTATTTAATATTTGATAATATAAAATATTTTTTAACTCTTGATTTAGTATTTAAATATTTATTATTATTATTATTATTATTATCTATTAAAATTAGTTATATTCTTTTATAATTATAATAAAATTATAGATTTTCTAATTACTTTTTATTAAATATTATTTTATTATATAATATAATTAAATAATAATAATATTAGCTTATTAATTATAATTCTTATAAAATAAGTTATTTAAAATATTATATAATTATTATTACTTTTTTAAAAAAAAAATATTAATAATAATCAATATTTTTATATATTATATAATTATTATTATAATTAAAAAAAATAGAATTTATATTATAATTTTAAAATTATAATATCTTTTTCTTTATAAAGAGAACTATTATTAAGTTGAAATTATTTGCTTATAATAATATTTTAAGTTAATATAATACTTATATTTTTGAAAAATTAATCTAAATAAAATTTATAAAGTAAAGAATTAAAAGTAATATATATAATATTACTTTATAATTTAAATGAAATAAAATATATAATAATACTTATATTTATATAAAATAAGAATTTTTAATAAAAATAATCATTTAAATTATAATTTATTATTGAAAATAATAAATTTATTTTTTATATTATAATATATATTTTTTTAGTATTTTTAAATTAAAATTATAAATAAATATATTATTTATTATATATATTTATATTAAAAAATTTAATATATAATTATTTTTTAATATATACAGTGATAACCAAAAGTAATAACTCAGGGGCTAAATTTACTAATAAAATATAATAAAAATTGAAATTTTCTCTCTATATTAAAATTTATAATTTTAATAAGAAATAATTTTTATTTTTATATTAAAATAA